TGAAGAAACAAGTGCTTAGGACTGTTTAACTAGAATTTTTTTTATCATTTCTAGTGGTCGTAATAGGTGCACATAATTTATCTTTAAGGGATTAGAACAGAGATTGTCCAATTTCCAACCTGGAATTGAGAGAGCTGTGTCAATTGGGAGAGCACAGTTAGTGTCTGGCACTGGCATGTGGGGCAACATTGAAGGTGGCCATGGGAAGGTGGGACGCAGTGGCTAGGATATAACACATTCAGTGGAGGGGCAGTCAGATAGATAGCAAAAACTAGTCTCATGGGATAGTTGTACCAGCAGAGCTCTGGCTGCAGCAACTGAATCTTTATAGTGCCTGGTTGTTTCACCCTTCCTGTTGACGTGAGTGGGGCCCTCATTCTGGCAAGTTCAGAACCCGGCTTCTTCCTCCTGGGTGAACTCATGATGTATTGCCCTGTGCCGCTAGACAGGCACTTTGACTTGCTTCAGATTCCATTCTTGAGGTCCCATGGATGAGCCTGGGGATTCTGGGACCAGACAAGTCCAGATGGTAGGCTCCTGACTCTCCGCTTTCTCTGGTTCTCTGGCTGGTCTCCTCCTGCATGGTCTTGGGGCTTTCCTAACTTCCCTTGGTTCTCAGATATGGCAAAATTGTAGGATTATTCTCATTTGCTGTGGGGATTCTGTCTGACTCTAGCATTGGATCTAGGCAGATCTTGACAAAGAAAATAGGAAATTCTTGTTGAGGTACAATTCCTTGAGTCCATAACCAGCTTGGAGTCTCTTTCAGCAAGTATAATTGGGTGTAAATATCCTATTTTCACATTATCCAAATGACTTTTCAGTTCTGGCAATTTTGAAATATTAGTTTTTGAGTGCAGCTAGCAATCTAGAAATTGTAGGTTAAGGAAGAAATTATCAACAAGACTGACCACTGCTGCCTCCTAGGCAAATATTCAGAGGAGTGAATTGTCATATATGCATTTTGAATCTTCAGTAGTTTTAAATGTTCTTGTTCCCTTTTGTTGGTTCATAATCCACTTTGAGCCATTTTGTTTTATTTCTATTTTGAGCCATTTAAACTATATAGAATCCTCTTTATTTCATTCAACAGTGCCCTGAGGTCTTAGATATTGACTTTGGGTGGCAGTTTGAAGGCAGAGCACAGGTACAAATCCTAGTATCTGTTAGGGTGAAGAGACCTAAAGCCTTACTGAGGGGTTGTAGTTAGGATTAGGGAATGGGTGTTATGATATGTGTATTCCCTGAACTCGATTTCAGTTTTTCTCACACACATGTGTGCATGGACATACACACCTTTTAAGCAGTAAGGGAGAGGCTGCTTCTACTGCAGCTGAATTTGGTAGGAAGGCATTAATTAGTATCAGAGGAAGCTCCTCCATGCCAATTATTTTCAGCTGTTTAAGCTGTGATGGGAGCTGTCCACTTACAGTATGAAGAAGCTATACTGAGGGGCAATAACTGGGGGTGGGGTGAAGGGAGCAGACTTCCCCTTACTGTTTTAAAGAAAATTAATATTTGTGGGGGTAGAAATCAGGAGTAGGGAATGAGCATAGGGCGGCATATATCAGCTCCCCTTTGATTTACTTTCCCACTAGGCTGTAATGAAGCAAGTAGCTTGCTTTAATGCAGCTTTAAAGCAATAGGAATCATGAGAGAGGATAGGACTCATGAGCCCTGTAGGACTCATACTTGTTCCCTCTAATATCAGTGTTCACATAATGCCTGTCAATAAATAAAAGATCAAATATTTTGCCATGTAGAGGTGGTATATTGTATGATTACAATAGGGAAGATTCCCCCCCCCCCCATCTCTGCATACTTTCCCGTTTGACTATTGGTATTGACTTAAAACCCTATGATGAAGGGCAGCCATGAAGGAGCTAGAGAAGTTATAAGGATGTGCTGGCAAACAAGATCAAGATAATTCATGTCATAGTATTTCCCATTACTAGGTATGGGTGTGAAAGTTGGACAATGAAGAAAGATGATTCATTTGAAATGTGGTGTTGGAGGAGAGTTTTACGGATACTGTGGACCGCCAAAAAAGAACTGAGGCAATTATACTTTGGTCACCTTATGAGAAGAGTCTCTGGAAAAGACAACAATGCTAGTTAAAGTTGACAGAAGCAGGAAAAGAGGAAGCCCCAACATGAGATGGATTTACTCAATAAAGAAAGCCATGGCCCTCAGTTTGCAAGACCTGAGAAAGGCTGTAAACAATAGGACATTTTGGAGGTCATTAATTCAGAGACTTAATGGCACTTAACACACATGCATAGTCTTTGAATGTAGGCCTAGGTGACAGGAAGAAACTGTAGTTGCTATTGATCAATAGTGATAGCAATGATTTATTTCCTTTGCTTTTTCACAAGCTTATTATTGTCTTTATGTTTGTCTGGTGCACATGGTGCTTGACAGGTAGGAGGAATTTACACTTTTAGGCATGGTAAGAAGCACACAGATGTCTCTTAAAGGTGTTCAGTTTGCTTGTTGTACGAATCTGAAAGATCAAAAAGTCAGTTGTGAACATGACTGTACTGAAGAATGGGTTTGACCAAAGGAACACAATGAGCTTGAGACCCAGCCAAATTAAATACAGCTCATATGTTTCTGTACTGTGTGCTACCACTCTGTGTTCCCCTTCTGTTAGAGCCTTTTTTTCAGTACTTTGATTTGTTTTTATTATTAATACCTTACCCCACCTTTCCAAGAGTTCAAGACAACTTTTTTTCTTGACCATCAAGTCGCAGCTGACTTATGGCGACCCCATAGGGTTTTCAAGGAAAGAGACGTTTGGAGGTCCCTTTATGATAGTCTCAACAGACAGGTAGGTTTATACAGGGAGAGGTGCTGTCAAAAGTTATGCAGGTCCAGGATATGAAGGGGCCTTAAGGGTAAACTGGGCCCAGAAGCCACATATGTGTGTTGCATCTGCCACAGCATCCTCTACAAGCTGAACCGTCTAAACATTATCCAAGTGCCCTTTCCCCTCCCTACTGAATAACTGGAATCTCCTTCCTCCCCACACTGTTCATGGTCCAGGAGAAGGTTGCTTCTGTGCAGAATTAGAAAGGTTTTTCAGCTATAAGGAGTAAACTCGCAAAACTCTCATGATTTTTCTCTCTCTCCCTACCTGTGTTTGTCAACTTCTAGACACTTAAAAAAAGACGTATGACAAAAAGCTTGTCAACATTATGGAGTATGACAGTTTAGAGTTATAGAGACAATTTTCAGTCATATTGGCTTAAATCTGTCCTGACCCATATTGTTAGGATTGGCTTCTCTCCTCATTCTCTGCTATCTTGTGGGTCCCTTTGCCAAGTACTGGAAGGCAGATAAGAAAACTCCTTATATTGAAAGGCTTTGCTCATGTCCACTGAGAGATGTTGAAACCGTAGAGCATATGTTTTTCAACTGCCCATATTATAAGGAAGCACGAGGTGAGATTATTACCCCATTATTAGACAAAATACTTGGTCTCACTGAAAAAGCTAGATTTGATTATCTTCTATCTGATAAGAACCCTCTGATTACCTACCAGGTAGCTAGATTTTTGTTTGGTGATATTGAAATCGTGGAAAATATATTGTAATTAGATCTTGAAATTTTAAATCATTTTTAATCATTTTAATCTGATATACTGTAAACGTAGAATTTTTAATTGTAAAATTGTGTATATGATTGGACAAATGATTGTAATAATGAATGAATGAGTTTAATTTTTAAAATACTGATTTATGATGCTATATAAACAAAGGTGTGTCTAGAGATTTAATAAAATCCCTTTCCTTTTCCCAAATCCTCCTCTCCTCTATTTCCCATTCTTAGAAGTTTCTGCTGGTGCCCTGACTAGCTTCCTCCATTGAAGTGGACTGGAGATGAAAATAGACAATAGTAAATGCATCTAATTTGCCTTTAACATTGAATCTTTTTGGAGGAAAGTTCAGAGTGGTGGTGGTGGTGGGGAATCAGGAAATTCATTTACAAGTATTTTATGTCAGTTTCTTTGCATGTCTTAGTAACTGGAGTGGTCTACAGTTATTGGGGGGAGTATTCTGTCAAGAGATACAATATGGGAAATATGGTTGGCTCTTACCTTTAGCTAAAAAAAGGGAGAAGGACTAATATAGGAATCCTCTTACTGACAAGACAGGTGCTGCTGCTCCTCATGAGAGGTGGAAAGGAAACTGGAGCAACAATGAGAGCAACAGCTAGGTTTGCTACAGGACCTATTGCCATGCCCCCCAACTTGTGTCAAATACCCAGAAAATGGGCCCTGTCAAAACCATTGTAAAGAAATTAGCTTAGCCCCTTAGTGCTTACTTTTTTTGGGGGGGGGTGTCTTTGTTTGTGTGTGCATGCGCCTGTGCCTGGAAGTCATGGCGACCTCTGGCAGCTCCTACTGGGGCATGGAGGATGTTCAGAGAAGTGGCTTAATAGCCTGCCTCTGCCTCCCGACCCTGGTGTTCTTTGGAGGTCTCCCATCCAAATACTTGCCAGGGTCGGCCCTGCTTAGCTTCTGAGATCTGATGACATTGGGCTTGCCTGGGCTATCCAGGTCAGGGCACCCCTTAGTGCTTACTTTGACTGAAATGAAGTCTAAGGCTGCTACATTTCGTAGTCATAACTGAGAATGCTGAGAGAAATTGGAATTACAGCAATATAAATTTGAATTTTTGAAAGCAAATACAAACTAAGAGAACTTGTTTGAAAATATTTTTTACAACCTCAACTCTAGTTCATGGTATACATTGCTGCTTTGGTGCTTGTTCTTAAATTTTACAACCTAATATGACCTGCTGGAATGTCTTTTGAATTTATGTGGATGTAGCTACTTCACAATAAGATTGGTTCTGTTGTGCACAATCAAGTCATTTTTGTCTAATTCAAAACACCTTTCTATACCAATGACTTTGAGGTGGGTATTTTAAAGATTTTGTTGCTTTAAATAAATAATTTAAATAAGGATTTCTTTCTCTGCCTCTTTTTCTAAACAGTTGTAGAATGGGGAGATGATGTTAAATCCATCTCAGAAGATGAAGCTGTGATGCTAGTGAATCATCAAGCAACTGGAGATGTTTGCATTCTAATGATGTGCCTTCAGGACAAAGGCACGGTATGCTATATTTGTATATATATCCTTATATAGTTGTAAGCCATCTCAGAAATATTTAAGGAGTCCTGTGCAGAGCCTTGAGATGGAATCTTTCACACACAAATCCATATCCACTCAGTATTTTAAACCCCCCCCTTTCCTCTATAGGTTAATCCACACCTCACAGATGGCTTTGCCTTAGAACAGTGGTACTTTACTCAGTGGCTTGCAAAGAGCCTCATTCACATATCACATATCAAAGTAACACCGAATGTAGATCCAGATGATTCTCTGGGCCCTTTATTCCCATCACTATCACAGTGAGGCTGTAGCTCACCTGTCCTCTAGTCCCTCTAGAAGCACTGTTTCAAAGTGGGAACCACCTGTCAATCACTGGACAATGACATTGTCTACTTTGTTGGAACTGGGGGTGGGTGCCACATTGGGGAACAGCGCCCAGAAGAGCCACAGATGTTATGTCAAATAGCCACATGTGGCTCCTGATTCACTGAGTGAGTATCACTGCCCTAGAAGCAAAGAAGTGAGCAAACAAGACACACAAAAACAGTACAGGTGGTTCGCAGCCAGGAATTGTTTAAAATTGTTTGTGTGGCCAGGAAGTAGGCATTCAGACACATCAAGCACTGGGTTTGTTTTGTTTTGCTTTTCTCTTATGCACAAGAGACAATGAAGTGCATTGCATTAGCAACTCAAACACTGGAAAAGGGATGCATTCAGGCTATTTTAATTTCGGCTAACAACTCATATTGTGACATTTATACTGTTTTGTATCTGTCTGTATTAACTAAGTTACAGGTACCTCTTAGATTGCAGAAACTCAATGACAGAAGCTTTTTTGAGGCTTTGGGGAATCAAGCCATGGTTAGGTTTAAAATCATTCTGACTACTCAGCAGCTTGTAATATTGTTTACAACAAAAATTGTGAAATGTATTGTATGCTTAGAAGTGCTGTACAATTTGTCATTCTCTGTAAAATCAGAATGGAATTTGGCTTAGGAAAACTGACCTATTTGCTGGAAATGAACAAACAGCCCTGTTGGTTTTTTTAGCCCAGTTTGGAACTCAAAAAGCTTGGAACTCCGCCTCCTCAATTGCATCTGCTTATAGCCCCAGGCCAAGCTGTTGGTGGTTACCAGCCAAGTGGCCAGCTAGCTCAAAGATGAACAGGTGGAAAGAGAGAATCTTCCTGTACCTTCCCTGGCACCTTAAACCCTGTTTTGGCTGCATGCCAGGCATCATGTCCCAATGTAACTTGAGAAATGTAGTCCATTTTATCATTCCTAACTTCTTAACATCAGCCATTCTGGAATTATGTCTCCTGGGGTAAGCCCAAGGGAAGAGAAATTCTTTCTACCTATGAAACAGTAAGCTGACTGTGAACACTAGTTTATTCAAGCAGTTGCCACAATACAATAGGTATGCTTCAAGAAGGATATGGGTAGTCTGAGTCCAAGAAGATTATACACAGGCCGTTAACTCAGACCACATTTTCATTGCAGAGAACAGAAACTTAGCCACAGATACATTAGTTCTTTGGCCAACCCCTGCCAGTAAGGTTTTGACAGTCTTCAGTTCAGAAGCTCTCATCTTTCATTTGCATTCATTTTGAGTTTGGTATTGTTACGTGCAAGATTATAAAATTGTGACCTTATATATCTGTAGAAGTCTGAATTTGTTCAAAAGAAAAGTGGATGTGGAAAAAATTATATTGATAATAATATGAAATTATTTATACACACACACACTTGAAGATAGGAGTGTTGCATCTCCTAATGCTCACTTTCAAATAAACAGGCTAGAATTTTTCTTTAGTTTAGATTTTATATCTGAGGTGGTGAAGAGCTCCATTTCTTCTCCCCCACCCCCTCTCCACCTGCATGTAAGATGTTCCTGTGCCAGGCTGGCAGCTGAGGCATGGTAACCAGCCACCTGGCAAACAGGGAGAGACAATCACTGTTATTCCTTTCCATTGCCTTCCCTGGCACCATTGTGACTCTGAACACTACATTTCCCAGGATCTACTGCAGTGTATTGCTTTGGACATTTCCAAAACTGTGTCCAAAGTGCTAAGGAAAGGGGTGTGTGTGTGTGTGTGTGTGTGTGTGTGAAGCTGTCTGCCTTCCTGTCATCACCCTGATTGAAGTACCCTTCAACTGCCCTGATTCAAGCCCAACTTTAATATATGTATTTCTGTCTGTTACTAGTTGGGCAGGGGTTTTGTATGGTTTTAATTGATTTAATAGTAAATTAAAAGAGTGTAATATATATTTTAAATGCTAATTAATTAAATGAAAAGAGTAATATATATTTTAAATGCTAATTAATTGGATAGTGGTGGTTGTTGTTGTTCAGTCGCACAGTCGAGTCCGACTCTTCGCGACCCCATGGACCAGATCACGCCAGGCCTTCCGGTCTTCCAGAAGATAGTTGCTCTCACTTAAATGACACTAGTAAAGTAGATAAGATTTGGTTATACTGGAAAGTCAAGTATAGACTACTAGGAAGAATGAAAAATATACTTGTAAAGGCATTGACACCAGAGAAAATTATGAGTGCTTTTTTTTTTATTATTTTACTTCTGGAACTGTAGTGTGTTTTTGAACTGTTGTCTCAGGTGTGTTTGTGCAGATAAGTGACCCATAACTGTTACAATAGTACATTTTCCTACAAATTGCCTAGTAGTTTGAATTGGTAGCACAATTTTGATTATACATTTTCTCAAGTTAGGATAACACAGTGCAAGTGATAGCTCTAAATTAACTCTCTCTGTAACTCACGCTCTGTAATTTTGGGAACTTTAAATATTAAGTTATGGGACTTCTCCCAATGGGAAAATTTTAAATAAAAAACAATAGAATATCAAAATTCCTTTTCCACATTGTATATCTGCAGCAGATCCTTTTAAATTAAATTCTCTGTAACTGAATACTTCATCTTTTAAAAAAAGAGTAATATAAGAAGTGAGGTGAATATAATTCCATGAGGGGTATATAGCGGATTCTGAACATCTTCTCTTCCCTCCCCCCTATATTCTTTTCTTCTAGCATACCAAAGAAAGAGAGGTCATTTATTTAGCCAAGTCAAATAAAATAAATTTTCAATTGAATATTCAATTAAAAGAAGGATGTACTTGCTTTCATTGCTGTTAAAGGCCTTTTAAAAGCATGTTAACTTTGCAGATTAATTGAAAGTGAGTTTCTAATATAAGAATTACCCAAGACACATAAAAACTGAAATTAAATCCATTGTTTGTGCTGTGAAATGAAAATGAAGAGCTTGGGGAGGGACGGCATTCTTGGAGCTGGGTTTGCCTGTACGTTAGCCCTTGTTGAAAGTTTAAAAGCCTTTAATGGTAACAGTTCTACAGGGATGTTGCCACACAACATTTATATTTATTCCTCAGTTAAAAATGATATATAATCACGTTAGTGTTCTGAGAAGGGTTACTATATTCTAGCGTCTCTGTGTTTATATGACTAAAAAACCTCACTGTGTTAATTTCAGATGGTTTGCTCTCCCCCCTTGCGTGCAGAATGAATTAATTATCAATTTAACTTTTCCAGGTTGTTCGTCAGATGATGTGGCTGATGGATTATATTTTTAAATATACAAACTTTGGAATTGTATCTCTGCTTCATGGAGATTTCTTTATAAGACAGGTAATAGTTAAAAGTGTTTAGAAATAATGTGCTCTCTGTATTTACTCATGAAGTCATATGCTGTACTTGGTAGGCATGGTCTGGAAATATGAGAGGCCACAGTGGCAGGTTCAGCAAGATTTTGTAGTAGATAGCTGAGGGAAAGGAGTAGAGTTTGAGTGCCCTGCATAGCTTTTTGTTTTACCCTTGACTATCAAAAACAGATTTATGGAAACTAAACTAATGTATGCACCTTTGTGTAATCTATATAATTTTCAGGATTTATATTGTTTCATAGAGTACCAGTCCAGTAATACCTTACACTTGAATATAGCTCTTCTGCTGCATACCATCATGGCTACCCTCTGAAACTATCTTTGTAGAGTATGTTAATGTTCTGTAATTAAAAATAAAACAGGACTAACTATGATGGGGTGGTGTTACAATTGCATATTAACTGCACCATCCAGTCACACATCACCTTGGTATATGATATGTCCAGTCTGCATTTACTTTGATTAACAACTTGATTGGGTCCTACTTTTCTCATACACACACCGCCAACCAAACTACTTTAATCCCAACAGTTAAACAAACATAGCTTACTGTAAGTAGGGTCTTTATGTAATTTTTGCATCATTTCATGTGTCTTGTTAATACTTATGCTTTGCTTCAGTTCTGTTTTTTAGATTTCTGGTTGGTTCCAGATTCCTACCATCCTAATTCTATTGAATTGTTTATTGAAAGTTTCATCCTGTTGATTGTATTGACCTCATTAAGATCTGCCTCTTAATCCCTTTTCTCTGTGCCCTCATCTTTCAGAGGTGAAGCGAGTGGCAACATTTTCTGTGGTGGTATTACTCTTTTGTACCACCCTTCCCCTTGAGCCTTTTCTGGTGCCCGCTTTACTGTCTTCTAGACACCAGACCCAGGTTTTTAATTAGAGCCTTTATTTTTCTAGCCTTTTAATGGTTTGCTTCTGGTCTGAGGTCTGTTTTATGGATAGTTTTATGCTGTTTATGTCCCTGGGCTTGTTTTAATTGCTTCTTGTTCTTATATTGATAATTTCTTATTTTAATTCCAAGTTGCCTCAAGGAGGACTCTGAAGAGGCAGGATAAAAATCTAAGTAAATAAATTGGAAGTCTAAAACCTACCACCTGCTTGTGTTACTGTTGCCCCTCCTGGTTGCTTAAATCTACAGGGTGAGGGCCTGATTGACTGGGTTCTGGAGACAATAAATGCCTCCTTGAGAGAGGCAGTGATAACTCCAGCCTTGAAACAGGTGGTAATTGGCCCATTCCTAAAGAATGGACTGAGCAGATTTTAATAACTATCACCTAGTCTCAAATATACCATTCTTGACCTAGATGACTGAATGGGTGGTGGTGGACAGCTTCAAGAATTCCTGGATGAAGCAGATTGTTTGGATCCACTGATTCTCCTCTATCATTGTCTTCCACTGGCATGTGAAGACTTCTTTGTTTTGTTTGGTGTTCCCTTATTGGCCCTCCTTCCTGCTTGAATGTCTCTTTTATGTGTATATGTTGTTCTTAAAGTTGATTTTAATATCTTTTAACTGTTTGCCACCTTGAAGGCCCTGATTGGACAGAAAGGCAGGATACCTTTTTAATAAAAGGTACTTTTTCTGTATTGTCCAGTGTTCATCCAGTGAAACAGTGAAGTTGGTACAAACTGTACCATTTGCAGAATATGAAAGCAATATATGGTTGTTTTAGTCCAATACAGAATGACCCAATTAATCCTTCAAAATGTCAAGTTTGGCCTCTTGAAGATGCCTTAGAAATTATTAAATATGTAAGAACATTTCAGATTTAACTAATTGCTTCATTAACTGAGCCTCATTTTGATGAGTGCTACAGATATATATCAATGATATTTGTATCCTATCTATTTGAGAAACTTTAATTTGCTGAACAGAATGTCAGTAGTTCTCCAGTGTTTCAGACAGAGAGGTCTTTCCTAGCCCTACTGTAACTCGGAATGCTAGTTCATCGTCGTGGCGTCTGTGCAGTCCCACATGGGACTGCGCAGTTGCCGGCCAGCCACGGAAAAGATTTCCAAGCTTTCTAATAGACTAGGAGCATTCCTCCTCCTCCCCCTGGCGCTTTCCCGCTCAAAATGCTCACATGACCAGGAGGAGGGGCGCTACTCCCTCAGTTCTCTTTTTGCCGCCACGGAGAGATAATCTCCACTGCTGTTCTCTGTGTTTTTTTCCTCACCTCAGTTTTGAGGCTGAGGAGATTTTTTTTGTCTCAACAGTTTTTTATTCAAGTGAACAATGAAATACATCTAAAGAAGATTTTTTTTTTGTGGATTTCCACTGTGTCCTTATGACTAAAAATGGTGCTGATTCTCTGTGCCTTGGCTGCCTAGGGGTTCACACAGCAGAGCTGCCTGCTCTTGCTGCCACCAGTTTCCCCTGAAGGCATGTGTGGAAAGAGCTGCTCTTCAAAGGCTTACCCCTCCCTGGTGAGGAGGGGAGGAAAAAGAGCCTGGCTTAAATTGCTCTTAGGAGGTCACGTGTGTGGCCAGCAGCCTGATGAAGGCCTCTTCCCCCTCTGCTGAGGTGTGGTGAAAGGAAAAGGGGGGGGGAAAGGAGTCTGAATGGAGGCGTATTCTCCCCTCCGTGCTGGGGTGTTGTAGACAGAGCCTCAGAATAACTGGCTCTTTTCATGGGCTTGGGCTGTGTGCCTTGAAGTCACAACCCCCTCGACGTCAAAGCGTTTCTGCCTAGTGATTCCCTAAGGAGTCTCTGGCCTCTATGCCTTCGACGCCGACCTAGAAGCCCCTCCCTCCCCCCTCCCTTCTCTCGGTGCAGAAAGAGAGAGAGAGAAGAAAAGATTGGGAGGTGTGGCCTGGCAAAGACTGCTTGAATGAAGGCCCCTTCCTTCCCTTCGAATGAAAAAGCTTGGAGGTGCGGCCTGGCAGAGACTGCCTGCCTGAAAGATTCTCTGGCCACTACCAGCACTTCCAGTGAAGCAGCTTGGAGGCGTGGCCTGGCAGAGGCTGCCTGTCTTAAGGAGACTTCCTCCTCTCTGCCTTTCTGTCACTTCTGACCAGAAGCCTGGAAGTGTGGCCTCATGAAGGCCCGTTTGCTGTGCCTTACTGAAGGAACGTTTCCCTGGCTGTCCTCAGGTCCACGGTGGAATCTGTGGAGGCATGGGTTCACACAACCTTGTAATTCTTTATGCCCCTTTGTGGAAGGTGTTATGTGTCAGAATGCTATTGTGGCCTTTAGTTGGGGTTGTTTGGACCTCTTCAGCTTTTGTCGTTTTGAATAATGGCTGAGGTGGGCAGAGTTTCCCCTTCATGTTGTTAGCCACGTCCCAGACAACAGACTACTTATGCTTAAGTCCTGCTGTGGTTTTTGACCATTCACTCAATTGGGACTGCCTGGATTCCAAGGTCAGAACCAGTTCTCTGCTGAGCTCTGCTCCAAGCCCTATTCCTAAAATCTAGTTTTAAAGGTTGACACAGCAGCCTCAATCTACCGCCCTGCTGCAGTCTCTCAGCACTGATACTTAACCCTACAGGGCTTTTCAATGCAGGTGTTATTTCAAGCTCAGGCAAGGCTTACTGTTTCCATCTTCATGGGGAATGCAGAATTAATCGGCAAGTATGCTTTGGGAGGCAAGCCTAAGTAGTTTGTCACTCCTCTCGGTTTCATGGTATCCTTTGGAACCGTCTATGAATTGGGGGATTCCTTAGCTCGCACAAGTCACTCTTATGTGACATCATTCACAGCAAGACTCAGTGTTATATGTGGATCCAGTGTTGGTCTGGCCCTAGGAGATCAGGTTCAAATATCAAAATTGTGTTACAATTTTCTGACCTTGTACCTTCACAGCTTCTCATAGTGCCCTACCTTGCAGGGTTCTAGCGAGGATAAGAAAGGAAGGAAGGAAGATGAGGTGTTATAAGACTCTTTGAGTCCAGGTTACAGAGTAGGATAAACTCCTTACTACTCTTTTTAAAAGAGAGCATTTCCCCCCTGCTCAAAACAGCTGCCCTAATAGACAAGGGTCCAATGGGCAAACTATAATTAACGGCTCTTGTTGCATCTTCTGCTACAATCAGTGATTGTATTCTTGATTCCATGGGTCATCCGTATTGTTCCTGTTGGCCTACAGGCCAAATACCACTTACTCTTTATTTAACCAGTACACAGTATTAATAATCTAAAATAAACCCAGTTTGGATGCAGTTTGTTTCTTTTTCTTTCTATACTGCACTTTCCCATAGTTTATAAATCAACAGGTCACTATGACCTTTATACTATTCTGTTTGAACATATCTTAATGCACTGTGATGCTGGTGATGTGCATGATAAATCTGTCCCTTTAATTCGAATCACTCATGTGACCCTACCCTAGTCCATGCTAGGAGATAATATAAACAAAATAAACAAGCAAAAAACAGAACAAAACAAAGCATTAAAGTAAATGACCTCCTTGCAGAGGCTGTGAATTCTGCTGTCCAGTCGGACAACATTCTGGAGGCAATAACAGGCTTGCTGTGGGATCCCTGAGTCACGTTTCCTTCCCGCCTTCACTTAACGTGATGTCTTGGGGTTCTGCATACCTTTTGTCCATGTACAAGAGGCCAAGTCCCATCCTTGGCATCTCCTACTGACAAAGTCTCTGGTGATCAAGATCCTTTCACCTCTGCTGTTTTGTCCACCAGGCTTCCTGCAATCCTGTGTGCACCTTTGTCAATTGCTGGACTTAGATCCAACAATTTGCCCTCCTCTCCTTTATATGAGGGCTACCGGTCTCCAATTGATTATATCATTCCATTTAGTGATAAATGGGGAGGATCTATAGCTCAGTGGAAGAGTGTCTGCTTGGCATGCTGAACGTCCTAGGCCCTCCAAGTTAACGGTCTGGCAGTAGGTGATGTGAAGGACCTTTCTCTGCCTAACTCCTTAGAGAGCTGCTGCCAGTCTGAGTAGACAGTACTGACCTTGATGAACCAATGGTCTGATCCACTATAAGGCAGA